AAGATGTGCTTGTTCTTTGTGTAACAATGGCAGCTTCTCCTCCAAGGGGAAAAGGTTGGCAGGCTTACTGCCCAGTTATAAAATACTTCAGTTCATTAGAGCTAAGAATCACTCTGCTGTAACACAGTGCACTGCTGTGTTTTGTCATCTGGTTCTCTGTCACCTGGTGGGAATTGGATTTAAATTGCCAGCACTGAGAAATGTGGATACTTTGCCATTGCAATGTGAGGAATGAAGTATTTTGTCTCCGGCCCAGAAGTTTATTGTCTTTTGCTAGTATCCATTTAATTGTGGCAAATTTATTTTTTAGCTTACAGTGAAGATAACATTTACATCATCTGTTTCTTGATATCTCAGGACATAGGGAGCTTCTGGGGAGCTTTTGTAAGGGGAATGCTAAGATGCAATCTAACCTTTTAAAAAGGAAGTCTGCAGTGGGTGGTTAGCACATCAAGGTAGGGTGTTGGTGTGTCTCACATCAGGGTGCCTGGATTTGATTTCAGATTCTGACTTCCAACTGCAGCCTCCTGCTAACCCAGATCTTGGGAGGCTCATGTGATAAGGATTCTGCGAGCTCAATGAGAGTTGACAGCTCATGACAAACATTCTTCAGAGAGAGGTACATGCTAGTGGTTCAAGTTGCTTGTGCTTGCCTGACCAAACCCTGATTCTTGCAACAATTAGGAGTGAAGCAGTGGATAGGAGATACGTGTCTGTCCTCAAACCAACAAACAAAATTACTGTGAATGTTTTGTGAAAAATCATGTCAGTAGAAAGTAGCTTAAAGAGGAATCTAGGCCTGTGTGTTTGAGAGATAATAGTGACTTGGGTCATTGCAGTGTCAGTTTCAAGAAGTAGAATTTAAAGCTCTTGAAAGAATGAAAAGGATGTGAAAGAAAAGATTGGACAGTGAATCCAAGATTTTTTTGCTTGAGCAGATGATTTCTGCTGACATGGGGAAGTCCTAAGATGAAGCTAATAAACTTAGTAATATTGCCTGTAGATGAATCTGCTTGGTTTGTCATTTCTGTTCATGTGTTCTTGAGGATAGCTTGTCTTTCTGATGCCAGATGCTGGTTTCATCCGATGATGTCTTTTTTGTAAGTAAATAGAAATTTACAAAAATACAAAACCTGTACTACATGCTTTATCTGTTCAGTGCCTTCCCTTCTTAACTAGTGTTTTATTTTTCTTTGTGATAAATTTCTCACCTTATTGTGTTTACAGGATGATTTATGTATCTTAACCTTAACATATGCCACATCATGTTAGGCTACAATATGAAATTTGGGTAGTTTTCTTTTTTCAGCATCATGTTCAGAGAGGTATCGTTCTACCTCAGTGTCCCTCATGTGATGACTTTTCAAGAGGACACGAAGCTTTGTCCCTGACTTCATGTCTCATGTTTTGAACTAAGTACTGTACATATTTTCCTACGCAGTGTAAGTAGGTTGCTGATCTTCCTCCATGCTTGGATTTCAGAATAAAACAAGTAAAATGACTACGTTAGCAGTGATTTTACTCTGAGCCTCTGACTCAGCAGGGGCCCAGCTCTATAGTCAGTGACTTACAATAGAGACCTCAGAAGGTTGTTGCCATTTTGTAGAGCCTGGCCCTGGTTTTTGTGCCTCTGCCCTCTTCCCCTGCCTTATGAGAGGTATTTATTTCTCTGGCTTTGGGCCTCACATTGCCCTTACCCTTGAAGCCCATCTGGAACTGATTGAGGGCACAATGGGAGCCATCAGTTGGTTCTGAGTCCTGGCTGTATTCCTTCTGCCCATCTTCCTTCTCTGAGGGCAGCAGAGCATGGCAGAGAGGAGGCTGGCATTGGACACAGGAAGCTGCGTTGGAATTCTTGTATGACCTCAGCCTCAGATCTTAAACGTGGCGTGGAGACTATGCTGTTGACTTCATCGTGCTGTGGTGAGCTTGCACTTAGTGCTTGCAAGTTCTGTTGAGTTGAATGGGACCTGTACGTGTTGAGCTGTGATCCTGTCCTCCTGTCCTGCTGTGGAGGTGGCTCTTGTCGTGAATTTTGCTTTTTCAAGTGAGTCTGCTGAGTAAAAGCTTTCTCTTTCTAGTTTTGCCTGTTTGGACTTTATAAAAATGGTATCATATTGTATTTTGTTTAGAACTATGGATGCCTTGTCACAGCCAGGCACGTGGCAAACTGGCTTGAAACCAAACCCCAATGTGTGAAAATATGACCCAAACCATGCCCTCTCCCCTAGCCCCAGGTGTCTGCCTTCCAACAAAAGGAATTCACTGAGTAAAGGGAGTGACCCACCTGACCTGCCAAGCTTCTGATTGCTGAATTTGAGTCACCTGCCCCTTTGTAGATAAGAACCTTAATGGTCAGGATTATCTGGAGGGTTTCATCTGGGGGAATTCCTGGAGAAAATGTGACTTCATCCATGTGACTCCCAGACAGGCTGGAGCCCACCTGACCATGGTAAATTCCTTAAAGATCACGGCATCACTGACCAATCAAAAGAAAGGTCACGAGCTTGGCTGACCATCCAGAAGCTTCGCACACAAGCACCTCTCAGCCTCAATTTCTGTCTGTAAGAACTTTCACTCTTAACTCCTAACCTGAGAATTAGGAAAGCTTCCCAAGCTCCTTGCTCTGTGTTTTGCAATAAATACTTTCTTCCACCACCCCAATGTCAGTGATTGCCTTTCTATGCTTCAGGTGAGCAGACCCAGTTTGGGGATTCTGTAACGGTGCCTCCAGCTAGTTTGGGGTGTTCGTCATCACACTGGATTTTTGTTAATGGGGACTGAAGATTGGAGTTTCAGATTTTATCCTGTGATGTGACATGTCCCTCTCACTGATTATTGGGTTGGGCTAGGTTTTTCTGATTTTTTTTTTTTTTTGGTGCTCTAACCATGTAGGTGGCCTTCTCCTGGCTGTATTTGATAGGAAATTAGGCAGCCTTTCTTTTTTGGAACAGAATAAATTTTACTGCTGGGGGTGGGGTATACAGTGCTTATGTTTTGAGATTTCATTGTAAGTTTTCACTTAAAGGCCCATTTAAATCTAAAACCATGATGGCAGTGGATAACTTCCATGTTGTGCAGTAGTGCTTCTGGGCCTTCCTGTCTCTGGACTGTGCCTCGTGCCTCGTCCTCGGGGTCACACGTGAATGTCTTTGACCCAAGCATCACTGCTGTGGCTCCCAGGACTCCCCTCCCTCCTTGTCACCTTTCTGTCATGGATGAGCAGTGGGCTCTCCCAGAATCACCATCGTCCCTGGGCGTGATCCATTGCAGCTTCCCCCAGTCCTGCCTCCAGCTGCTGACCTCTGGTGCATTGAGGCAGGAGCGTCCTCCTGGGTCCCTCTACTGCTGCCCCAGGTGTGCTTGCTGTGAAAAGTGATTGAATGTTGGTAGAGTCTGACTTGGGCTTGTTCCTGTGTGGTTCAGAGGATTCAGAGGAGAAAGTAGGCTTTAATTTTAATTAACAAATTAGTGGCAAATGGCAGTCTTGTCCAGTTAGAATGGAGTAGTTGTGATACAATCTTAAGTGTGTTCGTAACGTGTATCTTTTTGCTTGAGCTTGATGCTTGCATGCTTATTCATCTAATAGGATTATAATTGCAAATCAGCTGCCAGGTATGTCTTCTTCATATAGTTAGTTAGGATTTTAAAAAAACCTGGCACGTATTTTTGAGTGTTATAGAGTTTGTTCTTTGTTTTAAGACTGACTTATTTGTGGGGCCAGGGCGGTGGCTCAGCGTGCTAGTCCTCCGGCCTGAGTGCCCGCATCCTGTATGTGTGCCTTGGTTCAGGTCCTCATGTCCATGAGCTGGTTACCTGTTTGAAGTAGGTTATGTGAGAGTCAGTGGGATTTCTATGTAGTTGGATTGTCTGCTTGTTTTGGAGCAGAGTGGCTGTTGTTTTGGGCTGGGTGGTTTTTGAGGTTGGATGTTGTCCATGTGTTCCTATTTAGCATTGTCCCTGTTAGCTATTTTCAGCACAAAACCAAGATGTCAGACTCCAGAGTCCAAAGTGGTCCTTTATTCTGGTGGGAAGGGCAGCTACGGGGCAGAGGGAAAGCATGAGCTGAGAGAGAGTGCATGAAGCAGGAAAAGAGAGACTGAGAGAGAGACAGAGCAAAGGAGGAGGGAGATGGGGGGGCGGGGGAAAGAGAGAGCGAGAGAGAGAGAGAGAGAGAGAGAGAGAGAAAAGAAAAGGACCAAGGAAAAGAGAACGAAGGGAAGAGGCATCTTAATACCTTTGAGGTGGGTTATTGGGGAGTGGCCAGGGGATGGCAGGTTCAGCTGTAGGTACGCACCAGGGATAAATGCCTCAGGGGATTGGTGGAGCAGATATGGGGGTCCTAATGTGCAGGGATTGGTGGAGGGCATGATTTAAACCTGAAGTTCACAAAGCTTGCTTAGGCAAGTAGGCCTTAAGGGGATGGAGAACTAGGGGACTTAACGGTAGTGCTGGGTAAGCAGGTATTCAAGGTGTCACTGGATTCAGGATGGAGGGGTCCGTCTTCCAGGCCACTGTTGCAGTCATTTCTTATAGCCCTTCCATGGCCAGAACACATCCCTTCCCTACTTGTGACAACAGAAGTATCAGCAGGCCTAGCAGGTGTCCCTTGGTGTATAAAATTGCTTCCCGTTGAAAACTGCTTTGAAGTATCTGTTCCCAGGTGAAGGAGCCACTACATAGAAATTTCAGGCTCCCGGGTTCTCCCTACACTTCTCCAACAGAGTTTCTGTGGATGGGCCCTGGGCTGGCAATCTCCAGAGAATGCTAGGGGTTAGGAAGCTGTTGCCTCCCTGGGAGTGCCTGTTGATGGGCTTGCCTTAACATGTGTATTGAAGTGCACTTGGAGAAATGATAGATTGAGAGTTTTAAGTACAAGCTATAATGCTTTATAATAATTGTGGCAGTGACCTTTTCGACATTATATGAGAATACAATTGTGTGCTTTTCAAAAATTGAAGACAACTCTTATGCTAAAATTCATAATTGTTTTTATTTAGGTGTTAGAGATGACCTCAAGATAGACTCAAAAGCAAGACTGAACGGCCACTTTTGAGGTGGAATAAGGTGAGTTGTTGGATTAATCATCAAGTTTTAGGGAAAGAGTATCACTCAAACTCTCATAAGATCTGCCGCTTTTAGCCAAGAAACATTTTTTTCCTAATTCTCTAGTGTGAGTCCTGAATTCCCATTGGCTTTCCCTTTTTGATGTATTATGGAGAGGTATCAATGGAGAAGGAGAAGATAGCAAAAGCTTGTTCAGATTTTGCTGATTTTTGTATTCAGGATTGGTATCATTACAGTTAAATAGTTTGGTTTTTTTTCTGTGCAATTAATAAGCAGTTTCTATTTTATGCTCAAGCATAATAAAGGCATTAACAGTATTTTCCTGTTTTAAAAAAAATCTTGGTGGAAGTTAATATCTCTGTCCATATTCCAGACAGGAATTATGCTAAGTGAGGTGCACTGCTGTGTAAATTGGAATATCGGCTTCATGCCATGTCGTGGTTGGATGATTTCCTCTCTGACGTTGTATTACTATTGCTCTTGGTTACTCCCAGGCAGAGATAGTTTTCTGCTAGTCCCATCCTAAGATTCATGTGAACAATTCTCAGACATTTCCATCAACTGTAAAAGGAAGCTGTCTTATTGAGAGAAATAGCACCTTAATTCAGATGGAGAGAGACATTTTTGTGCAGGGTGAAAATGCTGTTAAGTTCAATCATTCAGCCAACACTCAAGTGGTCGTGAAGGTCCCTTTTGTTTTGTTACTTTTAACTTAACCTTGATCTCAGCCAGATGCTTAAACAAAGACCTTGGGAGTGTTCTGCTTTGTCAGGAGAAAACCACCTAAGAAGTCAGCTCTTCTGGAGAACTATATCCAAGAAGGGACAGTCAAGGTTATCAGAGCATCTCACCTCTAAACCTTTGTGCAGAGCTTGTGGCTGCTTCTCTGAAGCCTGCTGGGTAATTGGAGCTCTGCTTTCAAAGTGGCTTTCTATTTCTGACCTTCCTTGAATTTCAGGAGGAGGGATGGGGACTGATTATCTCACAAGTTGTTTTAAAAGAGCATCAGAATGTTTTCTTGACTCCATTTATTTAACCTTTTAACTCTTCTTTAACAGAGTTGGAATCCAAGGAAGATTTTTGTGCCTTTTAGCTGTTTGAAGAGCCCTGTGTGTGTGTGTGTGTGTGTGTGTGTGTGTGTGTGTGTGTAAGTGAGCAGCTCTATGAAGACATGCATGTTATTGAGTGCCCTCTGGTTTTCACCTGCATCTTCATCCTGAGTTCAGGATTAATTGTTTTTGCCTCCTGAGTTACCTGTATGTTAGAGGCTTAGGTACCTTCCGTGCTGTCCTTGTATGATTTGCGCCATTTAGAATTACAAGAGAGACTCAGAGAGAGAGACATAGACAGATCTCCCAGCTGCTGGTTATTCTTCAAATGGTTGCAAGAGCTAGAGGTGGGCTGCTGGTCCAAATCCAGGAGCTCCCCTGGGACTCACTTGGGAGCAGGCTCCCAAGTGCTGCCTCTGCTGCCTTTTTTGTGTTTATTTTCACTCCACTTGAAAGAGAAATAGAGAAATCTTACATCTGTTGATTCATTCCCCAGATTCCATAATAGCTGGGGCTGGGGCTGGACCAAGATCAGCACCAGGACCAGGGTCAGGCCAAAGCCAGGTGCCTGGAACTGTGCTTTGGTCTCTCTTGCAGCTACCAGGGAGCCCCGATAACTCGAGACGTCACCTCTGTCTTGCAGGGTGTGCATTAGCAAGAAAGCAGGGTAGGAAATGGAGACAAGATTCTTTAACTGGCCACTTCTGTATGGGATGTAGGTGTCATACCCCATGATGTCTTAATTGCTGAGCCAAGTGCTTGCCTCAGTATACTTTATTCATAATTATCTTTGGTTTCTGAGCCAGCATGGTGGCTTAGCAAACTAATCCTCCTCTTGTGGAACTAGCATCCCATATGTGTGCTGATTCAAGTTCCAACTATTCCACTTCCAGTCCAGCTCCCTTATACTGCACCTGAGAAAACACTGAATGATGGCCCAAGCCTTTGGGCCCCCTGCACCCACATGGGAGATGCAGAAAAAGCTCAGGGTACCTGGCTTCAGATTGACTTAGCTCCAACCATTATAGCTTTTCCTGAGTGAACCAGTGAAATGTTTCCCTTTCTTTCTTGTCTAAATCTGCCTTTCAAATCAAAATGAATAAATTTTTGAAAGAATTTTGTAATTTATGAATTCTTTTAAAATACCAGCCAGGAACAGAGTAATAGTGATTGATAGGATCTGACTAAATTGTATTCATTTTTTACTTTTCCTTTAAATTTTCTGATACTTTAACTTTGCAATGAATACATTTTATGGTATTAAAAATTATATATTGATAGAAAAATTTTCAAGTCCATGAATGATTTTTTTTCATAATATGCATTCATTTTTCATGAACTGGTAAAAAAAAAACCTTAGGGAACAAATTTCATGTATTTCATCTATGCAGTTAAAAATTTTTTCTTTTAATTTTAAAGGCTCTATTTATTTGAAAGTTAAAATGACAGGAGAGATCTTTCATCCACTGGCCCATTTTCTAGGTGGGTTACATCCTGAAACCAGAAGTTTCACCCAGGTCTCTCAGGTGGTGGCTTAAGTACTTGGGCCATTTTCTGCTGCTTCCCAGGCCGTCACGGGAGATGGGGGCTTGGATGGGATGCTCTTGCAGGCAGGTTTGCTCACTGCAGCGCAGTGCTGGCGCTCCCTCCTCCCACGCCCCCCACGTAATTGGGCAAACAAAATAATACTCTCCCTCCATTTCTCCCTTGCTTCCACCCTCCTTTTCTTAAGTTTCTTTTGTGTTATTTATATATTAAAATATTTAAGCAGCTTTCCTAACTGCTGTATTTTTGCTTTGGGTTTTCTTTTTCCTATATAGGGGATTTGTACATATATCTATTTAGTTGAAATATTTAAACTTCACTACTGTTTTCATTTATTTATTTGCATTCCAGCATTCTGTCTTTAATGGGGGGAACAGGTGATACAACTTCTGTTTATGAAAACGTGAAAGATTAACCTTGATCACATTTATATTTCTTGAAGCATTTGTTGGTATATAGTATATTAAAGAACAGGTTAACTCTGAGAATTTTTTTTAAAGATTTATTTATTTTTATTACAAAGTCAGATATATAGAGAGGAAGAGAGACAGAGAGGATGATCTTTCCTCCGATGATTCACTCCCCAAGTGACCACAACTGCCGGTGCTGTGCCAATCCGAAGCCACAAGCCAGGAACTTCCCCCAGGTCTCCCATGCGGGTGCAGGGTCCCAAGGCTTTGGGCTGTCCTCGACTGCTTTTGCAGGTCACAAGCAGGGAGCTGGATGGGAAGTGGGGCTGCTGGGATTAGAACCAGTGCCCATATGGGATGCCCGGCACGTTCAAAGTAAGGACTTTAGCCACTAGGCCACAGCGCCGGGCCCTAACTCTGAGAATTTTCAACCACTCAGTAGGTGTACAGCGATACAGGAACATAAAAATGCATTATGGCACGTTCTCCTACACTTTTTTTGTGTTAGGTGTGGCAGTCCCAACAAACTGAATAGTTATGGGTCCTTATTGTGCCCAGCGAGAGGATGCAATGGCTAGCAGGTGGAGGGGTCAGTTGCAAGATGCCAGCCTGGAGCATCTTTCCCCCAGGTTGGCTGTCTAGCCTGGAGAATTGCGACTACACCACTGTGTCCTCTCGTGTTTGCTCCGTTTGTCTTTGTTGTTCTGCAGTGGATGTCTTAGGAGCACAGGACACGTGTGTTCACAGTCTTGTCTGTAAACATAATCCAGTGACAGAGACAGTAACTGGTCAGGTCAAAACAGAACTTGGAATATGTTCGCTCCAAGACGGAAACTGCTCACGTGTGCTGGATCGTCCTGAGGTGCTTTCGGTGAATCTAACAGTTGTCACAGTGGCACAGAGGACAAAGAAAAAAGGACGAGATAAGTGCTAGACAAAATTCTAAATGTGGACTATAAGATAAAAATATTGAAAATGTATAGTGACACACAGATGTATGTTGAGTCTTTTAATCTTTGGATGTGAATAATTTGAATTGAGTTGGCTGCTCTGAGGTCACTTTAGAATTATTTCATTGAACTTATTTAAAGCTCTCTTCTTTGTTCTAAAAAAGGAAAATTACATGAAATCCTTTGCAGACCTGTGATGTGAACTCTTGTTTACTAAGGCTACTGTTCCCTTTCTCTCTTCTTTTTGTAAAGGTTTATTTATTTTTATTAGAAAGTCAGATACACAGAGAGGGAGGAGAGACAGAGAGGAAAACCTTCTGACTGGTGATTCACTCCAAGTAGCCGCAATGGCCAGAGCTGAGCTGATCTGCAGCCAGGAGCCAGGAGCTTCTTCCGGGTCTCCCACATGGGTGCAGAGTCCCAAGGCTTTGGGCCGTCCTCGACTGCTTTCCCAGGCCACAAGCAGGGAGCTGGATGGGAAGTGTTGCCTCTGGGACTAGAACCAGCTCCCATATGGAATCCCGTTATGTGCAAAGCGAGGACTTTAGCCACTAGGCTACTGCTCCAGGCCTGACCCCTTCTCTCGTCTTTAGAAACAAGTTATTACTAAATTCTTTTCTGTATTTTCTAGATAAAACAATGTCCTACAGTAAATGGGAAACTTCTCTTGTTAACTCATCCTGTAGACAGATACAACAAAACATTGTCATGTCTTTTTTTTTTCTTGAAGATTTATGTATTTTTATTCAAAACTTAAATGAAAGGAGAGACAAAAAGATCCTCTGTCCACTGGTTCATTCCCCCAAATGGTTGCAACAGTCAGAGCTGAACCTACCTGAAGTCAGGAGTCAGGAGCTTCTTCAGTGTCTCCCACGCAGATGCAGGGTCCCATGGTCTTGGTCTGTTCTGCTTTGCTGTAAGCAGGGAGCAGGATGGGCAGTGGAGCAGCTGGGGTGTGAACCACTACCCGTATGAGATTCTGGTGTGTGCAAGATGAAGATTTAGCCATTTGGAGAGAGAGAAAAGCTGCTACCTACTGATTCACTCCCATAACGACCATTGAACTTTTGTGTGACATAGCACGTAATTTTAGAGTTTGTACCTTGGTGCCAGAGCTGAGTTGCCCTAGGTGCTCCTGAGGCAGGAGAGGTCCCTTCAGTTGGCTGCTACTCTGTTCTCATGGCTAAGGAATGTGTTTAGCCTTGCACCTGCCTCCTTACAGACACCACTGGCAGAGGAAATCCATAATTGAGTGAGAGCGCTGCTGAGGCATGGAGAGACCTGACACTTCCTTCATTTTCCCTTAAAGGGCTCTTGCTTTCTTTTGCCTCTCTCTCTCTATCTCTCTCTCTTTCTCTTTCTCTCTTTAAATAAGGCAGATATGCAGAGAGGAGGAGACACTGAGAGGAAGATCTTCCATCCGATGATTCACTCCCCAAGTGACCACAACTGCCGGTGTTGTGCCAATCTGAAGCCAGGAGACAGGAATTTCTTCTAGGTCTCCCATGTGGGTACAGGATCCCAAGGTTTTGGGCTGTTCTCAGGTGCTTTCCCAGGCCGTAAGCAGGGAGCTGGGTGGGAAGTGGGGCTGCCAGGATTAGGACCGGAGCCCATATGGGATGCCCAGCACAATCAAGGTGAGGACCTGAGCTGCTAGGCTATTGCACTGGGCCCTGTTTCTCTTTGAGTGACTATCTAGAGTGACTGGCAAGGTCCCTTTGTTCCCTTTGATCTCTTAAGACCATTTTAAAAATGTCCTACTTTATCAATAAATTTTGTGCAGAAGCTGGGTTGCTGAAGTTGTTAGTCCTCATATCTGCTTGTTTCTCCCCAGTGGTTCAGATCAGTTTTGAAGGTTGAAGCTGGAGATCTCAGTGGGACCCCCTGTACCACTGCTTTCATTCACCCAGTGCAAGTAAGAAGCCAAGAAGTGTGAGGACTGCAGGAGTGTTAGGGGCACAGCTCAGTGCCTCACAGGAAGGAAGCAGCGCTCAGTGGGAAAGGGCCGGAACTCTTCTTGTCTAGCCTTGTGCTGTAAGAGATGAGGAAGCCAAGCAGAGGCGTTGCTGTAACATAGTCTGTCTCCCTTGGGTTTGTCCTCACCACGGTGATCTTTCTGACGCCCCCCTCACCTGGTGGCTGCCTCGGTGAAGGTCATTTTTCCTTGCCTCTGGTTTCCCTTTCTCCTCACCACCTGACAGTCTCACTGCCTTTTGCAACATGTACAAGTTCATTTCCACAGGAAGGCGTTTTTAGTTCCCCATCACAGGTAGCTGTGTAGATCCTCATCCAGTCCATACTGCCTTTCGCTGTGATAACTGAACTTTGCGGCATTTTCTTGCACAACTTTCTTTAATAAACAAAACAAATGAAAAAAATTTCCCTGGTTTAGATCTGTCAAGAAGTGCTGGTTATTAAGGGAAAAAGACTGTTTAGGGAATAGAAGTTTTCACTGTTTTGAAAGAGAGCGATTCAGTTGACAGTGATAAAGCCTCAGTGTGGTGTTGATGCATTTTCTGTCGAGTGTAGATGCTCGTTTGCTTTTTGTGCGGTAGCCTTCCAAGCTGGTGGTCCAGAGCTAACGTCGGGAAGAAAACTCCACTGAGAGTTGGAATGTCTTTGCATACAGATGAGTGCTGGCATCACGCCCTGGTGTATTCCTTCTCCTTCCATGTTCTAGGAATTATAAACAAAAGATAAATACCAAGGCAGCAGGATCCACCGCTGAAAGAGATGCACACAAGTTTGCTTGTACCAGGTCACCTGTCAGCCGAGGTGGGAGGTTTGATAAGACTAGAAGTGAAGGAGTGAAAAATTGAATGAATGTTTCATTATTGGACATCCACATTTTTTTAAAGATTTATTTTTTTTTTAATTTTTACTGGAAAGGCGGATATACAGAGAGGAGAGACAGAGAGGAAGATCTTCCATCTGATGATTCATTCCCCAAGTGAGTGCAACGGTCGATGCTATGCCGATCCGAAGCCAGGAGCCTCTTTCAGGTCTCCCACGCGGGTGCAGGGTCCCAAAGCCTTGGGCTGTCCTCGACTGCTTTCCCGGGCCACAGGCAGGGAGCTGGAAGGGAAGTGGAGCTGCCGGGATAGAACCGGTGCCCATATGGGATCCCGGGTGTGCAAGGCGAGGACCTTAACCACTTGCGCCACCGCGCTGGGCCCGGACATCCACATTTTAAATGAATTTTCGCAGGCTGTTGGATAAATCTCATTTTTAAGCATTTGAGAGCTACTTGTATACGCGATCACTTTGTAATCAAGTATTACTTTAGGGGTAGACGTGAAGTAGTTGGGGCATTCCGTGGACTCGCCTCCGCTTTCAGGAGGTACCTGGTTCTGGTTCCAGCTCCACATCTGTCTAGTTTTTCTTCTGCTGAGCTCCATGGGAAGAGCTTGGGTCCTTGCTATGGTGTGGGAGACCTGAACTGAGGTTATGACTGAAATCCTAAGTCCTGACTGTTGGAAACATTTCAGGAGTGAATCAGGAGATGGAAAATCATTGTGTGTCTCCTTGTCTTTTGAATAATTTTAAAATTAGTAAAGTTTTGCATAATATATTAGTGTGTATGCGTGTGTTGAGCAACTCTGGAAATAGGAAGCAACTGTTCTGGGTAGCTCCTCGCTTCAGCACACACAAATGCATTATTTTGTTTGTATTTATTTGTATGGAATGATGGTGAAGTCTGTGCTTTTTATTTGGGATATGAAGGAAGGGAGGAAGGAAGGATCAGGATTTTGGAGCTAGAAGGCCTGCTGTTTAGAGAAAGATGGGCCATCACAGAGCTGAGCCGGCCTGCCGGGGCCAGGCTGCTGCACAGTGCTAGAGCTGGAGCTCAGAGCTCTGATTTGTACGCTCTTGGGAGAAGCATGAGTATAACCATGGCAAAACACAGTATATTTTCCAATTTACTTTTGGATTTTGGCTATTTAGAACATTAGGTTATTGGTGGAGTTTAAGGTTACTCTTTTGACTGACTTCTTAATCATGCTATCCAGGAGGTTTTCCTGGAACATGTTGTAAAAAATCAAAAGTTTGTGAGAATTGGAGTTTTATCCTTTTTTTTTTTTTTTTTTGCAAAATAAAAAATATTTTGAAAACATTTTAAGAGCTTCCCTCCAAAGCATTTCTGAGAATCCAAGGCAATTTAAAGTCGGAGTGCTTACTTTCAGCTACTTTTGGTCAACTTGTGTTGTAAAAACTGTCTCCTCCATGTGTGTATTTCCTGCAGCCTCTAGCACACTGCAGAATGTTTAGAACATGTCCTGTTGCAGTTAGGTTGGCGCTCCTCTCTTCCTACTCCAGTTCTCAGTAGAATCACTCGACCTTTCTGTGTCCCTCGGTGCTTTTCCTCTGTGTTACTGTGGGTCAAGATCAAAGGGAGTTGTTAAAGGCCAAGCTTGGATATTTGGAATGCAAAATTTCCTGTTAATCGCTAATTGGATCACTGAACTAGAACATACTAATTTCTGTTTTCATTTATTAAATCCTTAGCATGTGGCAGATATTCTCTAGACTGTGTACAACAGAGTTGAGCTGATACAGCCGCTACCCTTAAGGGCCTCAAAGCAATTAGTGAGGCGGATGTGTATTTAGGTATTTTTGAAATGATTTTATATATATACATATATACATATACATACATGTATATGCATGTATACACACATACATGTATATGCATGTATACACATACATACACTCCTTAACAGTCTGTAGATAGAGATGAATACGTGAGTGGTATAACTTTAATAAAGAATTAATTCATTTTTAAGTTAAATTTCATGTTTTAAAACAGCTATTAAATACCCAAGGAATAAAGATCCCAAGGTTATGAGATGAACTAAACTTTGTAGTTGGTATTTGGATTCCCTCAGTTTTTATGCAATTATCCCATTTATTTTCCAGGATGAAGTCCAGAAATGCTACATTGCATTTAGATCTATGCTTTATGAAAATGTATTTTTATACAGATTGTGGCATGCTGTTCTGTTACTCTGTTTCATTCCTATCTATGGTTTTGCCTTCTTACCCAGCATTTTAATTATTGGCTTTAAACTGTTTCTGAGCATTTGGTATTATTATCAGTGCTATAGTGGGTATCCTTGAACTTGCAAGTCTGCAATGTATAGGGAGGGATTTTTTGGGTTAAAGGACATAACATCTGCCATTATGTATTACTAAACTGCCCTTCTTAGTTATTGAACAAATTTGCACACCCATTGGCAATGCATATTTTTCTCCTTGCTAGAAGTGTGTGGTCTGACCTTGTGATCTTTGCCGATTTCACAGGTGAAGATGGAGCTGCACTGTCGATTCCTTAAGCATTTTTCTTGTTATTTAAGTGAAGTTGGGCATAAGATCCCATCTGTAAGAGCAGTGAGTCGGCTCTCAGGCCCTTTTATCTTTTGAGACCAATGCTTTATATAAGAAGTAAATTAGCCCTTTGTGATAGGGGTTGGCAGTTTTTTCCACTGGATATATGTTTTGCTGTTTGTGCTTAACTTACAGTTAACTTACTATATATAAACTTCTCATAAACATTTATTAATTTTTTGCTTTGTGATTTAGGGATTTTATGGCCTAATTGGAAAGGCCTTATATGCTGCATGACTGTGCAAAATGTTTTCTGCTTTGTTTTCATACATTTATGGTTTTTTTGTGTTTACCCTTCTTGGTCGGCCTCACTTTTGATTTGATGTGAATTGATAGCACCATTTTCTTTTCCATGGGACGACATGGTGGTTCCTACACTATTTCTCTTTTAACTGATTTAAGTGTCACATTTTATGTTTTATCATTTTTTGAAGTATTCATAGAATTTTTATCTATTTGAGGAACTGCTTATGAAACAGCTTTCACACCGTGTTAGTTATTTTGGGCTCCTAACACTTCTGTCCAGGAGATACTACTCTTCTTTTTCATAATTGCCCTCGTTGTTATTGCCTATATGATGTCACACATAAACTGTAAGTGCAGCTTCTGAGTTTGCAAAATATCCTTTTAATTTGATTGTGATATTTTTATAAATTTCAATTTATGTTTAAATGCATTGATCTAAGATTTTTTTTTGTATAACTAGAGTGTTTCTCATCTTCTAAGCTTTAACAATTTCAATTTAAAAATATTCATTACTGTTAATAGTCAATCATAACCTCCCATTTCTGTCACAGCAAACATTCTTGTTGTCATATGGTTCCTTCCATTTCCCCTGTATTGGTGGTAATGCTGAGTCATATTTTGGGGCCGCCTTTGTTTTTTGTTTTTTTTTTTTTTTTAGATTTATTTTTATTACAAAGTCAGGTATAGAGAGAGGATTAGAGACAGAGAGGAAGATCTTCCATCTGCAATGGCTGGTGCTATGCCGATCCAAAGCCAGGAGCAAGGAACTTCCTCCAGGTCTCCCACATGGGTGCAGGATGCCAAGGTTCTGGGCCGTCCTCGACTGCTTTCCCAGGCCACAAGCAGGGAGCTGAATGGGAAGTGGAGCTGCTGGGATTAGAACCGGTGCCCATATTGGATGCCCGGCTCATTCAAGGCAAGAACTTTAGCCTCTAGGTCATTGCGCCGGGCCCAGGCCTTCTGTTTTGTTATATATTCTTAGTAGGATATCATGTATGTAACAGTAAAGGTTTAAGGAATTGATCTGTACTGCCTGGACAGTCTTTAATGGAACATAATTTGAGACCAAATGTATTGAAATGTGATGTGTCCACAGGCCTGCGCTGTAACTCTGCAGCTGCGTTACTCAGTACTTACCTCCAGGTGTGCACACATGTACATCTTGGCACCATGGGCACCTCTGTTTCTACTTTCCTTTAAGCCGTTATGTTGAATTCTGCAGAATGCCACCGTAGGTTTTAGATAAAAAACAAAAACAGAAAAACCAGACCTTGTCAATAGTTCCTTAACACCAGCATAGTAGGATCAGCTAGATTTTTTTTTTTTTGTTTTTTTATCCATGTAAAGGTTGGCAAATCACTGACAGCTGCTCTATTTCTGATGATTCCTTTTTCTCCATTGAAAGTCACCCTCTCCAGGCCGCAGGGTCCTTGAGGAGTGTACTGGAGACAGAATGCTCTGTTCCCCCGGCCCCTTTGTAGCCTTGAACTGCTAACCAGATGGCCCAGTTCTGCACAGAGACCTGCAGCCTGCTCAGCTGGCTCCTCCTCCTGCCTCTTCATCCCTGTTCCTGCAGCCTACATCCTTCCTACCTGCCTTATTTTTCCAACCTTCATATCTGTTCTAGGGAGTTCTTTTATTCAGTAAACATTTACACACCATGTATTGAAGGGGCATGATTGCTTTAGCACCAGACTTCAACCAAAATGACATCAGAAAACAGAATTGCCTTGTGCAGTCTTACAGGAAAAAATCTCCTTCATCGTCTCGACCTCAGGTGGAAGGGAGAAAAGAAGGGACCCTTCCAGGAGGGAGTTGGGGAACGAGGGTAGCGGGCAGCTGAAGTGGTGTGCATGTGCTGCTAACCCACTAGCAGTTTGGTGCCGAGGGTTTTGGGTCGTGTTCTCCTGTGCTTCTGTGTGCAGCTTGCCTACTTTATCCTTGGACCAGTTGAAAAGCTGTGGGCTGGTTACTATGGGAATTGATGGGTACTGCTGGTAGGAGGAGAAGCAAAAATCTTGGAAGTGATCCAAAAATTGAAGGCGAGCAGGATTGCCTCCCACCCTGGCTTCCCTACTTGACATTGTTTGATTGGATTCATGAACTTGATTTTAACTGTGGGCGAGCCCTTCTAGGAACTAACCTCTGACATCCAGGAAGAGTTCAAGGAGAGGCCGAACAATACCAGATCCCCCTATCTTCCATGTCACTTTCTGTTTTAGCCGTGGCTTTTTTGGTCTTCCCTGAATTCAGAATTCGATGTAAGCTTCTGTTTCTTGTTACAGTATCAGGGAATGTGCTGGCCAAAGGAAGGAGGGAAAAATCTGTTGAATTCCAGTCTCTCGGCCTTTCTCTTTGCTTCATTGCTACCACTCCCATGAAATAAAGGTGGTACGAGGCATGCAGTCTTTGTTATGGGTTTGTTGATCCTGAAATGTTGGACATCGAAAACAGATGTAAGATCAAAATCCATTTTGTAAATCAACTTTAATTAATTTGATTAATCAGTAACTTAAAATTCTGCATCCTAATGTGTGCTAGTTTATTTTTACAACTACTCATGAGTATGGAGTGCAAGATATTAATTTTTCTTTTGAAGAAAAGTGTTTGAGGAGAAAGGATTATTAATGTATCTCAGAAATACAGTGTGATGGGACAGGCTTCTCCTCCCTTCCATGGCTGCATTTTTATGTTTCAGTTCAGTGTTTGATTCTTTTATCACTAATGAAAACCTTACTCAGATAAAGCTGTCTTTGGCCTTGAGAGAGTTTTGTTGAGTTCCTTGTCTTGCTGTGAGAAAAGCTGTCTGGATCTGTCCAAACCCTGACTTTGGGAGTGTTAGAGGTGATGGGATGTTGCATTACCTCCATATTTGGATAATTTATGCACAAAAGCCTTGACATTCTATTCCTTTAATTCCTGTTTTCAGGGGAGAGGAAGGGTTGGAAAGAAAAACCAGTCACAGAGATCTGGTGTTCCTGTAGCCTCTGATCTTGTAGCAGAAGGAAAATGATGAAAAACTTTAAGGTCAAAGAAAGTATGTGGAAAGTCCTAGAGATGAGGGGATGGAGGACAATGGGAGCTTTCACAGTAAGGGGCCTTCCTGGAGGGAAGTGGCTGAAGAGAGGAGCAGCTGGCAGCTGTTGGGACCACGTGCGGACAGGGAGACCTGTTACAGGTTTGGAACAGGAGCTTAAGAAATGACTAATGTTTCAGCAAGCATTAAAAATACATACACATTAAGTTTGTTTATGTGAAAGGCAAGGTCATTAGTGGGGAGGGGAGGGCCGTTGTTGTGGGCAGTGAGAAAGAGGTATCTTTATCTGTTTGGTTCATTCTGCAAATGGCCATGGTACTCAGGACTGGGCAGGCCAAAGCCAGGAGCCTGGGACTCCATCTGGGTCTCTCATTGGAGAACAAGAGCCTGAGCACTTGGGCCAGTGTCTGCACTCAGGCCATTATCAAGTGAATTCCCAGGTGCGTTAGCAGAAGCAGAGCGGTCAGGACTTGAACCAGGACTCATGAAATTCCAGTGTTGAGGAAAGCAGTTACAAGCTCGGCATCCTAATGCCTGTACCTTCACTACACATTTCCCCTTAATTCCCAACCTCAGAATGTCTTTGAAGCCTCAGGTTTTTTTTTTGTTTGTTTGTTTTTTTGCTTGTGTTCTTCTGAATGTTTTCTCTAATGTTTTTTTCCCCTTCTTTTGTTAGGGGTTCTGTAAACGGTCAGTTTGTTGTATAAGTGTCGTTGGAAGAAGCAAGCACCACCCTGACCCTAGGGGAGGCTGTCACAGGCGTGTAGGAGCTCAGCGTGTGTGGCTGCTGATCCCGAGGAGGGCGAGTGGAGTGAGGAGGTCCAGAGTAAGGGAGTCAGTCTGTACTCTGTGAAATAGATGCAGTCCTCCCAGCTGACCATTGAGAACGTAGAGGGTCACAGGGTTTGTTTCTTTTCAAAAGGATGAAGTACTTAGTTAATGGAGGGATTGATAAGCTGTTGATGGTTGTGAGGTCAGTGATAGGATTACTTTTTCGTGCTGAATTAAAATTTTATCTTTAGCTCCATTTTTCTTTTTTTTTTTTTTAAAGATTTATTTATTTCTATTATAATGGCAGATATACAGAGAGGAGAGACAGAGAGGAAGATCTTCCATCCAATGGTTCACTCCCCAAGTGAGTACAGCCACTGGAGCTGAGCCAATCCGAAACCAGGAGCTCCTCTAGGTCTCCCAAGTTGGTGCAGGGTCCCAAGGCTTTGGACCATCCTTGACTGCTTTCCCAGGCCATAAGCAGGGAGCTGGATGGGAAGCAGGGCCACCGGGGACTAGAACCAGCAACCACATGGGTATCCCGGCACATTCAAGGCGAGGACTTTAACCACTATATCATCGTGCCAGGCCCTAGCTCCATCTCTTTCAAACTGAAATTTTAAGTTCTTTGAAAGATATGGCTTAAGAAAGTTCAAATCTTTAATTTCCACAACTGAGGAAAGACCATTAAACCTAGTTGTTCTGTTGAGTATAATTCTGACTGTATAAATTTTCAGAATTAATAAACTTGCTGAGTTCATGGTGTTAAAATGACTGAAAACATGATATCATAAGCATATTTTAATAGAGGAATTTCTGCATGTACTTTGTATACACATTCACTGAATCTACCACAGATAGAAGTTATGGTCTGCTTAATATCCAAAGCCTTGCCTAGGGTGTCAAACAGAGGTTATTTATGGTCTGCTTTATATCCAGAGTCTTGCAT